CCCCAAAACCCCAAAACCCCAAAACCCCAAAACCCCAAAACCCCAAAACCCCTTTTGAGATTCCACTGGTTGAAAATTGTACAAATTCTAACCTTTTGGTGGCTTCGATGACTTGAGCTTCTTGTTCCTCAAGAAATTTAATATCGACCGAGAAGAACTAGGGATTATAATACGGCTTACAAATGAGGAGACGCATCTCTTGAATCGAGAGAATACTTGGTCGCTCAATTCTTCTTCAAAATTTCTGATATTTCCGAATAAATTTTATCTGGCTTTAATTCTCTGAATGAAAGTTATAACCAGAAGATACTTCTTGCGTTTTTTATGAATCTTAACACTCCAAAAGGAAGCAAATTTAGTGGATTTGGTGCCTATGATGATGTAACTTGACTCGCTCACTCTTCCTCTGGGAGCTCTGCTCAGTGTCTTGGGTGGTTTTCTTACGTAAGAGACTCATAATTTGTTTATTCTCTAAAGAGTTATAGAAGATTCTGACTAGTTTTAACGACTCTAAAATAAGGACTATTTCGCTTAGAGTCAACTTTTTTAATCTTATTTCTTCTTTTTAGTGCCTAAATCACTCTTGGAAGGATTTCTAGATATCGAAATCTGAGAACTAGTGTGGATACAAGAATGACTGTCAAGAGGGCTATCACTTCTCATGTCCTTTGCATTTGCTAAAAATTTTGTCAAACTCTTACCCATATTTTTGAGATTCTTTGTGGCTATCTCAACTGCATCTTCATCGACAGAATCATTCTGGATCCTCATCTAGAGGTTTATTTAGCTCTTACTGGTGAAAATGAGGTATTTTGGGTCTGAATGACAGGAGTCTTACTACAGATATTGGAATAGCTAGGTCTTAGACCTTTTTGGAAGAACCCCTTCTGAGCTAAGAATTTCTGTCATTTCTCATAATTATTTTTATCTTGTATCACAAACGACTGCTTAGACTCTGAATTTGATGGTGGAATGAATGAAGATTGAGAGATATTTATCTTCTTTTCTTCTGATTCAACTCTTTGTATTTTGATAGTCTCCTATACCTATCATCAGAATCCTTACATTCACTGTTCTCCTGACGGTAACTATTCCTTTGAGGCCGGTCTTAAGCTTTGAACTCTGTTGACTTTCACCTTATGTGATTTTCTAGAGAATTCGTGAAGCTGCTTACTTGGCTCCTCATGAAAAATTGTTTTTGAGGAGAACTGGTCTACAAATTAATCATCCATGAATGATTACGTAAATGCAATTTCTTTCGAAAGTATTCTTCTGGTGTCAATGTGAAGAATCTTCTGAGATCCAGAAGAACTCTTCATAACTTCTTGACTTGATGAAGTTGCAATTTTTCTCTGTGATTTCTAAAGACTGACTACTTAATGACTTACTGCAGAGCTTAAATGCTGCCTCCTAGAGCTAGGAGAAAGGTACGGTGTCATATTAGTTGATACTAATAAGTTAATCTTCTCACCTACCTCTAATCGGGCGTATGGGAGTTTCAACTCTAGACTTCATCACCAACTCATAAGGAGATGCTCTAAAGCTCAAATAATCCAGCTGAGGTACCTAGAGTATCATTTCTGGAAGTTTTTGACCCTAACACTGCTTTTATTTCTTATTTTTCCTACAATCAGCACCCAAAATTACCTTTTGGTCATAACAGTCTTCAACATCTGAAGGTAAGGATTTGTGTTTGCTCTATTAACAATTGAGTTTAGCTTGTCTAAATTAACTTCCATATTTTCAAAACTGTATTAACTTTTAGGGGTTTTGGGGTTTTGGGGTTTTGGGGTTTTGGGG